GGGGGGGGGGTCAACTAGAAAAGGGTGGGAATGCTCATCATACCTTTAAGGTTCTAGACCTGCTATTAGGTACCATTAGGGTAACATGAATCCAAGAGGACCACCAGAGAGTAAGCTGGTACAAGATTATAGGGTGTTTGCCATATAATGAGTGACGTCCTGAGATTAGCTAGGTGGTGACAGCTAGAATGACAGTTGTAGTTAAGGATATTTATTTCAGTTCATCAAATGACTGTCACTCATAGAAAGTTGGTACTTTTAGGAGCAAAAATCATGAGTTGCCACGCCCATCTGGACAAGAATCAGGTACCTAATTCAGAGGTTATTTTAAAAATTTCTGATGAGCATCCCTGCAAGAGAGGAGTTGTGTGTGGTGAAACTAGAGGCACTGTAGTGCTCTACAGCTCCCAAAGTGCTTTTATCACATATTTTTTATGTTTTACATTTGAGCTGAACATGTATTCCATTCTCTTATATAAACATGGTTTTTCAAGCATTTGGACCAATATTCTTCATTGATTTGTATTAAAGTTACTCACATTCCAAACTGAAATGAATCATTCTTGATATAATGTTTGTTTTCTATTGGCTTTGGAAGTTTTTGACATTCTGAAAAAAACACAAAACAGGGGCAGTCACTATAACAGTTCTAGACCAAACCCTCACCTCTCCTCTTCCCCAGAGCCACCAGTATGAACCATGAATTAACATACCAACTGGTAGAAATATAATTTCATTTAATGGAGGGTTTCAACTAAAACTCATCTCACCTCACGACAAGAGAGAAACTCACCTGAAACAGTGTCAGGCACGAATACCAGTAGATTATCCTTTGAACCCACTGTGAAGTTCTTGAAGCGTCGGTAACACAGGACAACATGTGGGGGATTCCCGTCGGCATCCTTTGATTCGTAGTCATAGGAACCAACAGCGTCAAATATATTGTAATACTAAATTAAGTAATTATAATAATGATATTGAGTAATTTGTTGTGATTTTTAATGTGAAGTATGACAGGGGCAGATCCAGGATTTTTTCAAAGGGGGGGTTGTAGCATTGGTTGAGGTACTTGTTTGGCGGGAAAGTAGCACAGGGTTCCCAAACGGAGGTAGGTCTTATGATAATGATTACTTGCTGCAGGCGAGCAAGGTTGTTTCAGGTCCCACACACGGCGTATAGAAAAAAAGCGAGCAAAATGTGTCGGCACCCCTAGATCTGCCACTGTGTGATTGTCTAGGTGAGTGTATTGAGTTAATATGTGACATCACAATAAGCCTTTTCAATCTGGGAGTACGTAATGTTTTCTTATTCCAGACCAGATGTTATTCCCTACAGTAATATTTCTTTCAAATAGGCAGAATTCCATACTCAAACATGGTGGCCATTGTGGTACCGTTAACAATGGATGCTAATGAGAAATCTTTTGTTAAATGGTACCAACATGGCCGCGATGACGTAACGTGCAAAGGAAGACAATAAGTAATTTAACCTGTTCATGGGCATAATGCAGATATGAATAAACTTCATCCCTGGTGTACACTATAGCGGCATTATCTGCTTCACCATTGTAGTCCTTCAAGAAGAGATACTGCAACGCTTGGTGATTCTCTTCAGCAAACTGCACCACAGAAAACCTATCATTGCCAAACAAGCCAACCTAAAAAAACACAATAAACAATAAATCAAATAAGTCAAAATCGTATACTTTAAAGCTGGTCAAAGCAACTTGCTGTGCTTCAACGGCTTCCTACCTGAACAGTAACAATAATAATCTTAAAAATCTGTATCAAAAGCTTCCAAGGCTTTCGTTTTCTGGCTTTATATTTCCGCCATGGATTCATAAAATGGTATTTCAACTTAGCCTTCAGGATTTCGCGTCGACTGAACTCTCTGCGATTATACGGCGTTTCCGTGTGTGTTTCCCCCATAGTAACGTCTCCGGGGTTTCGAAAAGACTTAGAATAGAATCCGTAACGTATGTTCGAGGTAATGGAATCGCTAAAGACCTGATCTTCGCTCTCTTCTTCAACGTTAGTTAGAAGAGGTTCTTTAGACACAGACGAACTACGTGTGAGTGACGACCTGTTACGCGAGTTCTTGTGTGACATTGTTGAACTCATTTTCGGTTTTGAGGTCAACGTTTTTCTAGAAAAATTCTTGAAGTTCACTACATGTCTAGAAATTCTAGAGCTTTCTGCCTTTGTAATAAGATAATATTTAACAAATTGTACTTTAATCTCCCTTGATTTTTTAAATATTGTGTAATCAAAATTCACGTGACTGACGAATGATAAGTCACGCAGTATAATCGTCACGAGATTTTAATCCCAAAAAGCCCAATAGTCTAAATTCCGCTGAAAATATAAAAAATGGCATTGAATAAAGAAAGATAATTTTAAAATGTTCTAAAATTATTCTGTTCTAAAAATTATTATTTTTAATTTTGATTGATATTATTATTTTATATTTATGTTAAAACAGGCCAGCGGTTTTGTTGGTCCGCACTAAAAGACACGCGCGAATTTTTACCAACTCATCCAAGATGGCGGACAAAACACAAGAAGAATTAGGTAAAAAACTCCCAACGTTACGACTGATTTTCTCCTTAAATATTCGTTCAATTTATTAGCGTCTGTGCCCCATAAATAAGATGTTTATACTCCTCTTATATTGTTTTCAGACCTTCTTGAGAGGCTTTTCCTTCGTCTCGGCGCAGCTCAAACAGATGACCAACTGGAAAAAACTGTTGCAACTTTCTTGACTCCTCTACTGTTAAAAGTTTCAAGCAACAATGAAAATGTCAAGAAAAAGGTAAGAAAAAAATGTATCTTAAAAACTGCATTATTATTCTATTTGCGCACCAAATCCGCATTGTCTATAGTTAAGGTAATTTGGAATATTCTATAGGACTATTTCGACTAATAGGCTTTTAAAAAATCTTATAAAATATTTTGATAATGAAAATATAAGCTTAGATTCAATGAATTGATTTTTTAAAACGTCCGATATTTCTTGCAAAACGTTTTGAATTCCCCATCTTATATTTAATGGCTATCTAATTATATACTAAACGCTTTCAATACACGCTCTCAATAAACGCTTTTTACAGTTCCGTTCAGTGACCACAAATAAAAGTTCCAAGCCAAGGTCGTAGTTGCTGCACGCTGCAAAACTACAGTTTATCATGCACGGCAACTCCAACCTTGACTTGGAACTTTAATTTGTGGTCTCTGAACGGAACTGTAAAAAGGAGTCAGGTCAGAAACCACGAATTAAAGTTCCAAGTCAAGGTTGGAGTTGCCGTGCATGATAAACTATAGTTTTGCAGCGTGCAGCAACTACGACCTTGGCTTTATGAGTATCAAAAATTCACAGTAAGCTTATAGACATAAATTATATGCTACGACCGTGATGGTTCAATGTCTGAGCATTCTAAAGGGACAATCAATGATTTCGGTAGAGCGATTCTTTTATTGGATGCATATGTTGTCAATTCTGTGTTGTGACAGTGCTGTATGCCATGATATTTAAGGCCAAACAAAAAATAAGTGTGTTTCCTATTTTGTGACCGACCCTAATTTTTTTGCTGATTTCTGCCGACCCTAATATTTTTTCCATTCCCAAATGCACCACAGGGTTCCCAGTAAGCTCATTTCCACTGTTGTATCATTAAAAAAAGTTTTAACCTACCGACCCCAATTATTTTTCTAATGCAACAGGAAACACACTTATTTTTTTGTTTGGCCTAATAAGATTAGCCTTTTTATGGTATTTAATAATGTAGGTGATGGAACTTCTAACCCATATAAACAAAAGGCTGAAAAGTAGACCCAAAGTCCAGCTTCCTGTGGAAGCTCTGCTAAACCAGTATCAGGTAATGTATGGAAGTGCACTATTTTATTGACAAATTTGAAAACTTACATGCATGCTTTGTGCAGTTGTAAAGGAATATGAATGGGGATTGACAGAACACAATTAGAGAAGTGCATGCTTATTTGGGGAAGCTTTATACATAGCTTTATATATTTATCAGTTCTCGCAGCAGGCGCCGTGGAGAGGGTGGGGCAGGGGAGCTACAGCCCCACCACTTGTTCCCTTTTCACATACTAGTCTCTTACATTTTCCAATCTTAGCCCCCCACTTTTTAAGGTGCTCTAGGCATTTTCTTTCATTACAACTTATATTTAACTTTATTTATTTGACCAAATACGTATTTTCTTTTCAATGATCTAAATATATAATTTAATATAATGTATCATAAAAGGAAATGTGAATAAAGATGTATTGTATTGTATTGTATTGTGCTCAGTGCCATTAAATGCATCATAAGGACTTTAAAATGGGGCACTTATTTTTGACATATATTTGCATTAGCTGACTTGTAACTGGAGTTTTCTAGAGGTTTACAGTCTATCAATCTAGTTTTTCAATGTCACTTTAATCTCTGTAATGACTGTAAGTTCTTGCTTCTGATGTGATTACTGTATTTCTGGCCTTTTTTCAGGATACTTCAGTCTCTTCTTTTGTAACAGTAAGTATCTGTTGCTCCAAGAACTACAGTTTTAAAATGAAATTTAAATTATTTGCAGGAAGTCCAATTCTTTTTTCTCAATATATTGATGTCTTGCTCTTAGAATTTCACAATTCTGTACCTGAGGATGGGATACCCAAGACTTGAAGAATCAAAGCAAATACAACTGGTACCAGAACTAATCAAGTGTATGTTTAGAAGACCTGTGCCCCAGCAGGAGTGGTGAGTTATATCTTGACTCAGATGAAATACTTGAATTTACTGAAGAAATAGAAAATGTGTGCACTTGAGCTTGCTGTGTACAGTTTTAAAGCAAAGGAAGATTAACGGGACATTAGAAAAGTTTTATGAGAAGCAAAACATGTAGCGCCGGAGTGCTTCTCGATACTAGTTCTCAAGTGTTCTGCCAATCCCCAAATGCTTTATAACTACACACAGCATAAGAAGCAGGTTGTTTATTCTTTTTTTTTTTAATTCAAATTACCACCATGTTGGACAGGAATGGAGAAATAGAAAGCACATATATGCTGTGTGCTCTCTATAGTAATAACTAATCAGGAAACAAGATTTATGACACTGTTGTTCTATAATTTCCATTTAATTTGAAAAATATAGTTGTTAAGCTATGCTGTTAGCCAATCAGGATGAAATATTGGTGATATATATTCCACTGGAAGATTTTAGCTATAAAGGATAATTGTTTGTAATGTATCATTATTTTTCTTATTTCTGCATGCTTTCAGCATTATGCAGCTTGTAACACCAGTACTGAGTATTGTAAAGGTATCTGAGAGTCAAGAAGAGAAGGATAGAATGTTTTTATTCAAAGAAAGACCAGAAGTGGCTAAGTTCTTCCTGGACTTCTTATTGGATGTACTGCTTTTGCCCTATAGGTATTATATGATTATTAATAAGTTTGGTTCCATGATGGAATAATCGCTGTCAAAAAAATGTGGGTGGACATCAGAGATTTCAGGCAAAAATGTAAAGAAAAAACCCTTTTGTCTGACATCAGTCATCATCATCATCACCGTCATCATCACCATTAATATCATCTTTACCACCAACTTTATCATTGTCATTCAACATCATCATAATCATCATAACACCATCACCACCATCATACTGTATATTGCTGGTATCATTATCGCAGCCATCAAGATTATTTTCACCTCATCATTTAGCATAACCATTATAACTATCACCACCATGTCCATTGTAATCATCATCATTATCAGTTGTTACCACCACCATTATTTTACTCATACCCCTCTTCCTTCCTGTTATCATGATCAAATGACTCAGCCCTAAATAGATATCTCACTTTATGTTTATTCTATCGTATTTAATTTATTCCAGTCAAAGAACACAAGATGCCATCGTGTTAGAAGAGCAAACACTTCCTCCGTCAGGAGAGAATGACAGCGAGATGACAGTAGTAGAAGCCAAACCTCCTGGCCCACCAGCTGGGCTGAGCTTTGCTGCAGTTAAGAGGGTCATGGGGGAACAACCTATTGAAGGTGACAACCTAGAACAGGTCAGTAGAACATGTTGAATTATGATAAACTCTTTTTATTATGAGGCAAACCAGGCTAGACTGGTTTCATGACAGCCATGTGTACATGTTGTTGGGCAAAACAAGAAAAGTTTTCTCTTTTGGGAAATGAAATCTCTTGTCGCGAGGAAAGAGTGCATTGATTCTGTCCATAAACATGGCAGCCAATTGAAATCTTTCTAAAAAGCAATGATTATGAATCGTTTCCTTAATGATTGCATTTTTGATACCTGTTAATAATGTTATAAAAGTACTATTAAGGTCTATTTTTTGAATACTTGCTGTGAGGATAGGTTGCAAGCTATAGGTTCATTCCAGTTTTTGTCGTATTTAGGTAAAGCTTGGCATTTTAAAGTTCTTCTCTAAAGATGTCTTCGAAGCAAGTGATGTCATCTGCCATTTTGTTGTTGCCACTGGAGATTCTAGACACAGGTAGTGTTGCCATGGCAACATAGTGTTCTCTGCACCCTTAAGAATATATTTACGATTTGTATTTTTCAAATCCTTCTTCCTTTCAAAAAATGTCCTTGCATATATTTTACAGCCTTTATTATTGTAGTATTGTAGTAATAAATTTTTTTAAATTTCAGTGTGGGTGACTTTGCTGACCATGAGCTGAAACGAGTTGCAAGGTAAACTTTCATTTTTCCTATATTCTGTAAATCTACTTTATTTTAATTTCTTTGTTTTTAACTTTTTTCGACCCAATCTACCTAGTTTTTAGGATCTATCATAATTGGGCTTTTTTTTTCTTTTTTTAATTTTATTTTATTTATAAACAAACATAAATCATGAGTACACATAACAAATAATACAAATAGTGGTTACAGATGGTGCTACAGGCTTACTTGTCTTAATTCAGATAATAGATTCTGATATTTATTTACATGAGAGTGTAACTTGCCTTTTTTTCTGGCAATTCTTCTTTCTATTTTTTCATATTCTAAAAGTTTCATTTGAAATACAATAATATTGGGCCTAGAGCCTCTAATTCTAGCATTATATAATACATATAATTGGGCTTAACCTGTTAAAGATTTCTAGCCTTTCTTATAATATTAATCAACATTTAGGAAAGAATGAAGGAAAGAAGATGAAAAAAAGAAGAACAGCAGGAAAGAAGAGAGGGAAAAAAACTCAGGGGAAAAAGAGAGGGGGGAGGGGGTGGGGAGGGAAAGAGGAATTATCAAATAGTAGGACTAGCTTGTTGATGGTTCCAATCTAAATCAACCAATATTGAATGCATTTCAGTTCCACAGATTGGGAAAAGGCTGATGTTGTCAATAGAATGTGTTCTATATTTCTTGGTACTGTCGTCACACCTGGATCCAAGGTATGTCAAACATTATCCCAATCTGGAGGCATAATACTAATGTACTAACAGTTCTCTCATGGCTGTAAGCTGCAAGGCTGTTAATAGCGCCTTAATATGCAGCGTGTAAAGTCCTCCACTTATCAAAAATGAAAATGAGACAATTTTGAAATGTGCTGTACAAGGACTTCCCAGTATTTTTATTATACAACAAAATGTGCAATGCTACAGAAATGCTTTGCTTTGCAGATGAGAGGGAGAGCCAATAGTGTCTAATTTTAGCTAATAACAAATACTTTATAACTGTTTTTGCTGTTAGTATATATGTAGGAACTTGTAGATAAATTGGATCACCGTAAAAAGCTTTGTGAAACTGACGTTTCGGACGTTAGTCCTTCGTCGGAGTAAGTGATGACGAAGGACTAATGTCCGAAACGTCAGTTTCACAAAGCTTTTTACGGTGATCCAATTTATCTACAAGTTTCTACTGTTTTATTCAGAAACACCGACGCAGTCCACACTAGTACTCTACTAGTTATCATCACTTGTTAGTATATATGTTCATTTGGATCTGTTACCTCACCAGGCTGTTGTCTCTGAAGACCACAAAAAAAGTCCTGCTGGAATTAGAGTCAAACAGAAGATCTTTCCTTATTTACTCAGGTCAAGGAGAGCTACTGACCACTTTCCTGCTTGTATTCAGGTGAGGATGCATGTGGTTGATGTATCATTAATGATAGCACAGTCCAGCGTCAACAGTTCTGTCAGCTGAAACAAAATTTGAATCGTTCTTCTACTTCTAACCACCACCAAAATTATTATCATCATCATCATCCAACACTAAAATTATCATCACAGCATTCACCATCATCATTGTCGTCACCAATGTTATYATCATTGCTATCAGCATCACTTTCACCTTCACCACCACAATCATCATGATCACCACCATCAACATCTCATACTGTACATCCAATCATCGTCATTATTTTAATCGTCATCGTAACATTCTGCTTTCAAATTATTCAGTTTAGTTTGTATGACATTTGCAGTCATCATCATCATCATCATCATCATGATCATCATTAATGTCACTGATAACAGTATGAACAGCTCATCATCATCAGCATCTAACATATTTCTTTTAGATTGTCTTTGATAGTTTATTTGGAGCACAGCCCAACTTGAAGCTCCGCATCAACGCAGTTCAGTTCGTTCATCATATGTGCCTGTGTAGTTCTGACAAGGTTCTCGGCGCCATGGGACAAGTCCTCTTATCAGGAATGACCAAACTTGTTGATCAAGAAAAACAGGTGTGTTGTGTGACTTACTAAGGTGTTGCGTGATCTTTCTACCTTCCTAAGAAACCCCTTCCCCCTAAATCCTAAAACCAAATAAGCCGAACCAACCCTCAATTTTATCGATACCCTGAAGCAACCTCTGGGCTGATCAAAGTCAGGGCACGGCTAACGCACAGATGGAACCCTGAAACAGCCTCTTGGCTGATCAAAGTCAGGGCACGGCTAATTCACAGATCGAATTGAAATTTACCGTGTTAGGTCTTAGCAAGGGAGGAAAACCGGAGAACCCAGATAAAAACCCTCGAATCAAGAGAAAGAGACTGAACTATCTCTTCTCGTATGTTATTCCAAGTCCAGGAATGAAACGCGAGACCCCAGAGGTGAGAGGCGAGTGCACTTCTGCTGCACCACCCTTGAAATCCCCAATCCTACATCCATTAAGTATGATTATCTGTCTGATTCCCTAAAATATTTTCTCATTGAAATTCCGCCCACAGCACATCAAGCTTCGAAGTCTTGCTTTTATAGCCATAGGCAAACTTGCAAGGTTAGCAATGATGATTTTTAGTTCATATTATGCTTTAGCAAATAGCGTTGCAGAGTATCTATCACACAAGGAAAACCTAAATATCACTCTGGTGATGCAATGTCTTTATAAAATTTTAGTACACGCGGAATCGTACAATTTGCCGTAGCAGCAAAATAGCTTTTGGTGGACGTCAATCAAGCTGTTCCCATGACAACAGTTGTCGAAAGTTGTCAAGAGGCGTGCCCTCCGCGCTAATGAGAATCAATTCATTCAATCATATTCAAAGACATTATGGTAACATAGTTTTTATGAACATAATTGAGTACTATGTAGGTTCGTCCGATTGTTTTTGCCGATTGTTTCCCCAGAACTGACACAGTTATCGTATTAGCGTCGTACAGTAGTCGTACAAGCATCGTTCAGTTATCCAATAATGATCGTACAAACATCGTACCAATAAACTTGATTTGTATTTTGCAGGCGTCTGCCTTCACTATTCTCCAGTGATATTGGTCTTGTACAGAAGCTATTTCAGTCAATTTGTGAAGTAAGTGAAACAAAACCAGAAATGGACATTTTTATACTAAAGATGCAAAATACGTCTGAACGGACATGCAGAACACTTTAGAGCTTCTTTTTATGCATCTCTGAAAAAAAACAATATTCACATTATAGTGCGAAAGGAGATAAGTTGGTCGCATAAGAAGATGGGCAGAAGACGCATTATGCACTCATACGCGCTATTTGATGTAGTGCATCTTGAACGACGAATTATTTGAAAAAGAACGTCTGTATACATAATGCGTCTTCCCGTCTTTATATGTGACGAACTTAGACACGCATAAAAAGACGCACTACTGAAAATGAACAAGTCTGTCCGGACGTATTATGCGTATAAAAACGACCATTTTGAAATCCCTGCCCTTGAAATCTTGGGTAAGATGTACTTGACCACCACTACCCATCATCACTATCGTCATCACCATCACCACTCACCATCACCATCACCATCACCACCACCATCACCACCACCATCACCACCAACACCCACCATCACCACCACAAACCCACCACTACCCACCGCCACCCCCACCACTACCCACCGCCACCCACTACCACCCACCGCCACCCACTACCACCCACCGCAAACCATCACCACCCACCGCCATCCACCACCACCCACCGCCACCCACTACCACCCACCGCCACCCACCACTACCACCGTGGTCGCCATGTATTTCTAATTTACTACTAACAATTTTTACCAGGAAGAAGAAGACACTCGTCTAGCAGTACAGGAAACCCTCTCCATGATGGCACCAGCATACAGAGAGACTAAAGGATCAACAAAGGCTTTGATCGAAGCGTTGATCTTGAGTAACGTAGAAAAGGACACTCACCAAGCAAGACTCGTTGCCGTGCAGTTTGCCAATACTGTTTTCCTGCCAACACACATCCCGTCCAGATATGTCTGCATGCTGGCTGTCGCTGATGTGTACGTGCATTCTTTATTCCTGTTATTATTTTAAACTGGGGTGTTTACCGTAGTTAAATCAATCCATCCGGTCGGAAATTCGTTTGCTAATCGTAAGAAAAGAGAGGGAAACTTGGCTTCCGACCAATGGTACACGCGTCTACCGGAAGAACCGAGAAGAACGGGGAAAATGGATTTTTGGAAGTTTCCGATCGGAATGAAACATACCTTTTTTCCAACCGGAATATCTTCTTTTCATTCCGTCGTTTGCTGTTTTGCTTGCCTTCATTTATTTCCTTGTAAAATTTATTTTAGTTTTCATTTTCTTTATATCGAGAAATCGTCGAATTTTTCATCTTTTCCTATTGTGTATTCTTGGCATTCTTTTCCCATGCATTCACTTCACCCATTCTTCTATTCATTTCTCAGTAAAGACGATGTTCGTGACGAGGCGAAACGCGGTCTTCGTTTGATCAAGGACCACAGTCGCCTTCACACATCATCCGCTCAACAGACGGAACAGACCCCATCAGATCGACTACCACCCTTCACTGACATCGTCAACTTTGTCGCGAAAAAGGTAATACCACGAACCAAAAATCTACTCACTTTCTTCCTCGTTCCTTTGGAATACCTTTCTTGTCTTATTTTCTTATTTTTCCCCACAAACATTCAAAGCATCTGATCTTTTCAAAACTTTCGTGCGTTTGAAAATTTTTGTTTCTTTCTACAGACCATTCTTTTTTCAGTTAAAAAAAAAGGGTTTTATGAGAGCATAGATGGAATGTTGCTTTTTTGTTGTTTTTGTTGTTGTTGGTTTTGCTAAGAAAAATTTCAAAATTTGTTTCCAAAATACTCTTGGTTGAAGTAACTTAACTTTTTTTGAGGAATATGATTACGAAGATTGTTGCGAAGATTAAATTTCTTTCTTTTCTGTGAGTTATTATACCTTGGGATGATGTTATTTCAAAACTATTTCCATCCTATTCCTAGTTACTGAAGTATTTTAAAATTCCAGCTTGCAATAATGACTTTAACCATGCTTTACCCTGCGAGCAGAGGTTTTTTTTCACCCCCCTCTTGGAGCTGGCTGTCGGGGAGAATGCTATGTGGGTACTATGCGGGTACTATGCGGGTACTATGCTTTAACCTGAAGGAGACAATAGTACGATTTTGATTTTAATTTCGATTTTATAAGCACAAGCACCGTTTTATCTTCACGCTAACAGTAGTCATTCTTTTTAAATAGTTTCATTTTTTAAGAGCTTGTATAAAAAGCAAAACTATAGAGTAGAGAAATTGCACAAAAGGACACCGGGTTTTGATTTTTCAATCATATTTACAAAGACACAAGATCTTAGTTTTACAATTTCAAATCATAGAATTTTTTTCAAATTAACTCTTAAAAAAACTTGAATGCTTTCAAAGTCATTAGCAGAATCTATTGTGATGGTTTGAGGAAAATTATTAGCCAGTTCTAGTCTGTGCTTTATTGAGAGCTTTCGTGATTTCCGTGTAGTGTGCTCTTGAAAATCGGCTTGCTTGCTTGCATAGTATTTACCTACAGACTTAAACTAAGACTCTAAATTAGACTCTCAAGCTCTTTACTGATTTTTCCCTGCTCAATATTTCACCGATTTTGCCATAGATATTTTTCATATGATATCCGGCTTTATTTTGTTTTAATTCTTGAGGCGCAACCGACATGACTCAAAATCTCTCTTATGATATTTAATATTTTTATTTAAAAATAAGAATGAAACATCCGTCATGTTTCGAATGAGGAATGCTTTGATATCGTCATCCAACATGGCGGCTAACATGACGTAACATGCACCCCAAGAATAGCTTATTGCAACTTTTTACTTTAGTACTGGCTGTGGTGTTTCGTGGTATTCTTCTCTGCTGAGGACTTTCTTTCTCGTATTAATCATGGCATTTCTGCTGTTTATGTAATAATGTAGGCTGGTGAACGACTTAAAGGAACATCTTGCTACACAGCTGGCCACCTTAAGCTAGCCTTTTCACCAACGATTTTTACTGAGGTAACTATCGGTAACTATTCATTATTAAGACCCTGTTGTCATGGTTCCGACTTGATCAAAAACCCATCACCATTATAACCAAAACAATAGTTTATTATACACTATAGGGCCGGGTTGTACGAAGGGTGGATAGTGCTAGGGATGATGTTATCCAATAAATTTATCCACTGGATAAGCATTTATCCATCGGATAGCACTATCCACCCTTCATACAACTGGGCCCGGGCATTTTATGAATTGCGAGCTCTGTTTAACTTTTGAAGCTAGTGAAATGATTTATTTCTTGTGAAAAATTCTCAGTTTTTTTTTGTTTTTTTTAACAAAAAATATTTTAAATTTTCGACCAGTCGGTTTCCGTGTGGCCAGAGAAGACGGGCGCCTTTTAACCTTACCGCCTCGCCTCCTCCCCTGGGCCACCCGCTTTTCAATATCACGTGATTTACCTACCACAGGTAGCCCATATCTCTCGTTTCACGTAATTGTTTTTCCACAGGTGATCCGTTATCTTAGACGATGTCTCTCAGACAGTGCAGGTGTTACAGAGGAAGATGAAGTCAATAATGAATCACTGGGTGTAATAACCCGCTACCTACAGTCACTGCTCGACGATATCATGGATACAGGTAAAGGGGTGCAAAGGACCCATGGGGTAGGGGTCAGGGGGTGAGCAGAACACCCTTAGGGTGGAGGTCAGGTGGCGTTAGTGATATAGATAAGAGGGGGGGAGCAAGCAAAGAATTTCTTGGGGTAGGATTCAGGGAATGAACAAAAACCACTTTGGGGGGCAGAGGGGAGATTCATCGCATCAGCAAAAGGGTTGTATTCAGGGGATCCTGAATGTAAAAGCTTTAATGAGTTCTGTGGTATTTCATTGCCTTGTTCTCTTGTTGTTTTTCTTATTCAGATATTTCTACCTCAGCTATTGGAAGATACTTGGACTTGCTCAAACAAGCTCTCCAACCAATTGGAGGTATTTCATCCATTCGTTCATTCATTCATTCATCCATCCGTTCACCCGTCCGTCCTTCCTCCCATCCATCCATCCATCCATCCCTCCCTCCCTCCCTCCATCCATCCATTATTGATTTCTTATTTTGTAACATAATTTCATTCATCCCTGTTAATTCAGCATCCAAGTTTCCCTCTCAGTCACCTTATTTCACTTTCTCGTTTTACTCAGGAGCTGATCTTCATGCAGTATCTCTCCACGGACTTCTAGAGATAGTTGCTGCAGTACCATCCAGAATTGCTAAGTTTTACCACCATCAACTTTACTGGTTAAAGGCAAGTCTATTCGTGGCTTTTGATGTAATATTGCTCTCACAGTTCATATTATTTGGGAATGCTCGTTTTTTGCGTGCCGTGATGAATAGCAAAAATTATTGATACATGCAAATGAGATGACAAGCATTAATAGCCTCACTTGTATGATATTTTGAAAATATTTTAAAAACATCTCATTGCAGGCTGAACTGTAATAACAGCGATTGCTTTCTCGTCTTTTCCTTATCTCAGACGGTAGACATTACTACGCCCTCTGCGCGTTAATATTAATGCACAGTAGATTTGATTTAATCTGGAAAATCTTACATTACATGACCTTGGCTGTGTATATCAAGTAATATGACTGTATTAAATGTTTCTTCATGTGCAGTGATTGAAAAGCTGCTTTGTCTGCTTGTCATAAGATAACTATATCAAGTTATTATAAAATATTTCTAACGTCAATTGACTGTTTTGTTTCTCAGGGTTTCACTGTTTCTAATAAACAAGAAGCACGTGAATATGCTGGTCGTTTGTTGGGCATTGTTGTCAGTTCCATGGGCGATAAGACGTTTGAAGATTTGTTGAAAGAACTTTCTGATTCTTTGCAGAGCCAGGTATGATAAATTGTCTGTTTGTCAGTCAGTCAGTCGTTCAGTCAGTCGTTCAGTCAGTCAGTCAGTCATTCAGTCATTCAGTCAGTTCAGTCATTCAGTCAGTCAGTCATTCAGTCAGTCATTCAGTCAGTCAGTCATTCATTCATTCAGTCAGTCAGTCATTCAGTCAGTCAGCCATTCAGTCAGTCGTTCAGTCAGTCAGTCAGTCAGTCAGTCAGTCAGTCAGTCAGTCAGTCAGTCAGTCGTTCAGTCGTTCAGTCAGTCGGTCGGTCGGTCGGTCAGTCAGTCAGTCGGTCAGTCAGTGGGTTGGCGGATGTGTCGGTCAGTTACTTTATCGGTTTTATCTTTTTCTGTCTATAGTCTTTAGATATCCAGCACGGGGCAGCCACAGCCTTGGGGTTCCTGATCGCTCGATACATCAAGGAGCAACAAATAAATCTTGCCGTCCAAGATGATGTGGTGATAGAAGACGTGGAGATGGAAGACGAGATGACTCAACCCAGCCAACCTTCAAACCACTTGACGGCAGTCGTTGCTAAACTAGGTAAGATATGTTCAATAATGATGAAATAAGACCAACCTCCAAACCACTTGACGGCAGTCGTTGCTAAACTAGGTAAGATATGTTCAACAATGATGAAATAAAACCAACCGTCAAACCACTTGACGGCAGTCGTT